ATGTCTGGTTAACAAAGAAATCCTCACTCACAAAATGGTACCAACTGCAGAAACTAAGAGACTTTATCCTGGGTTGGAGCAGCCAAGCCATCTCCTTGTTCTGCTATTGTCTTTAACAACATATAGCACTACTGACTGCCATTCCAGGGCCCTATCCGCTTGTACTGGCTACCTCTCTGCTAAAAGGGATACCCTGAAGAATGCTAGTTTAATCTACAGGTTCCAGTCTGGAACATGGTTTCTGCTGTTGCTCTTCCCCCAATGCCCACCTATTCTATTCTTGCCCTTCCAAAACCACATTCTTTCAGTTATACCTGTGCAATCACATGAAAGCAATTGGTCAAACAGTGCCTTTTACCCCATTCTTGGGGTTAACCACATTAGCTTCAGTGACACTGTACTGTTGATTGAGTGTAATCTTCATCATCCAGACCTGTGGCTGTCAATTCACTTGCATGACCCTAGTGAGCCACTTGAGACATGTGCAACGTAACATGAATAGTAAAGTGAATGGAACTTCAGGAGGTACACATCAGCATGCAATTTTCTATGAAGGGGTTACACATATGTAGGTGACAGCAAAATCTGCAATATTCAGATAACATACTATACTTATAGTGTTAGCGGATGGGAAGCTATAGGGAAGAAGTTAGCCTAAGCACTCGAACATTGTGCCTGGTTCAACTCAGGCCTGTTCACTTATGCAAGCACAAAATTCAATCTCACATGATGCATTTTAAATACAATTTTACCTAGCTATAGGAACAGCAACAGGTTTCCTGAAGCTACAGGCTCAGCACCAGCTGATAGGAATTTTCACACTAATCAACAGAAGACATGGGAAGCAAATTGCTGAGAAAGACTAGCAGGCCAGAATGAAAGCAGAAACACACTTGAGTTCAATGAGTTTAAAAATCTTGTTTCCTGAAATGTTCTGAAAGGCAAATGCTTGATGTGTGTTTTAAAAGCAGCAGCCATCAACTGAAATGCATAGAGCAGGAGACAACTATTTAAGGGGCTCAACTTCTAACTATTTCAAACCCATCTACACTACTGTTGATTTCAGCATTGCTTACGTTAACAGATGACTGTTTCATGCCAGCATGAAACTCATCTGCATACAGGAAAAATCCCACCAGTGCAGGACATACTGCATATGCTACATTGGACTTCCAAAGCATTCCAGTCATTCCCACACTATTACAACTGCCTTGCATTTCAACAGCACCATGTGGCAGATGTTCTTAAAAGAGCCTTACAAATAATGAAGGTTTGTAATACTTCTATGTAAGTATTAATATACCCTTTTCTCTATGCGATAAAAATGAGGCAGGCAAGCCTTGTCTGCACTGGCAAAATCTATCGCTCACAGGGACTATGTCTACACTTGCAGCTTCTTTCGCAAGTACAGCCATTCTTGCGCAAGAACCCGCAGAGCGTCTACACTGCCTGCCCACTCTTGCACAAGGAAATTTACAGTACGGCGTGGTAAGAGAGGGCTCCTTGCGCCAGAGCTATGCTCTTTCTTAACAGGTGTAAGCCCTCTGGCGCAGGAGATCTTGTGGATGCTCGGCAGGGGATTCTTGCGCAAGGAAGTCCTATGGCTAAAATGGCATCAGAATTTTCTTGTGCAAAAGAGCGTCCACATTGCCATGGATGCTCTGGCGCAAAAGCACAGCACGCACATGGCAGTGTGGACGTTTTCTTGCGCAAGAAGCTGCCAATGTCGACATAGCCAGGCAGGCCCAACAACAGGGGCAATTCAAAGATGGCAGCCAGAGCCCCAGGCTCTTTACATTGTCACCTGTGTGCTCTGTACTGTTCTGAGGTTTGGGGTGAGGGGGTGTGTGACACACTCTCCAGGTGGCAGGGAGGCTGACTGCCTCTGGTTCCACCCCTTCCACTGAAGCCACGCCCCTTCAGGAGCACAGAGCCAGGCTCCCCTCCCACTTTGCCCAGGGATACGTGGAGGCTGTTGGCTCCCCTGTTCATAGGTGCTTTAAAAAAACGTAATGAAAGAAACATTTTGCTGTGGCAAGTAGCAGTGTAAACTGTGCTGTCAGCAGGAGAATACTCCTGCTGACAGTGTGAACCTCGCTCATAGGGGCTGGAAATATTTTTCTGCAAAAGTATGGACAAACAGAGTTTACACTGCCTGATTTTCAGCAATACAGCATTATCAACACAACCATGTAGCTAAAAGCCATGTAGGGCTTAGTCTACGCTTGCAATTGAATAAAATTCTTGTCATTCATGGGTGCTTAACCTCTCCTCCAGCCCAAAAGACAAAAGTTTTGAAGCCACAAATGCAAGTATAAATCTGCTTTGTCTCCTGTGGACAAAGTGAAAGATGCTTGAGGCTAGAAGTATTTTGTCAGCGAAAAGTGCTGACAAACAGCATTTACATTCATCAACTTTTAGTTACAGGGCTTTGTCACTAAAAGTTGTGTAGTGTAGACATGGCCTAGGGTAGACAAAGCCCAAACTCACTTAACGTTATTCAGTGGATTTGTGGCACAGGCTGGAATAAAACCCAGAATTTCTAACCGCTAACCACCAGAATACACAGAAAACCATAATGGATTTTAGAGGCAGTTATTCCTGTGGCCACTTATTGCATTGTGCTGGCCCTAGCACCACAATTTTTATTTGTGGCCAGCCACACCACACAGTTCTTAAAAGAGGTGGCAAGCAACATAAGAGGAAGAAAACTGGAGGATTACTATTAAGATATTTTAAAACGCAACTGTTTCCCTCAGTTATTCAGTGACCCATATAGAAAGTAAATATCTTACATAACATTTGTAAGACAAATTTGCAAAACACATTGACTTGCAACCTCCCACTTTGTGGCCTTATTTTTCTCGGCTTAATTTGTCATGAGAATTTAATGATTGTGAAAAGTTAACATTGATTGAATTTCTGTATTTAGCCTCAGAATATAATTCTCAGTGCTGTAAAAACATACCTGCCTTCTCCACAAACCTGTCCTAACTCTGATTGGCAGCTAGCCAGGGAGGTAGGTTTTCATAAGCTATTTAATCCTTGGTTTCTCCCAAGACCATTGAATTGGGCATTTTAGCAGTGAATGGGCACGGCCTTGCCATTAAGATGGTGTAATGCCTTTCACACAGGTCACTGAACAGCCATCAGAGCATGAGAACCTTTGAATGCTCCTTACCTGGTATAGATTTGCCTAAACAACTCAATAGGTGAAAAGTCTACATCCCATTACCTGTCCTCACTATATCACATAACCATTTCCTCCAAGAATCCCTATTACTAAGTTTTCACAGGTTGACAGCTATGCCTCACCAACAGCTCACATGTTCTCTTACTGTAGGGTTTACTGCGGGACCCAGAAGAATCAGCCTAAAAGCTCATTTTCTTCAGTTTCATGGACAATGTTCACAGATTCTGTGAACCGGAGCAAAACTGCAGCAATTGCTATCCACTTGAAGAGACTGGAGGAGTGTTTCCTTTAGTTCCTAAATTCCCTCTCTTCCCCTGCTCTGCAAAACGCCAATACACATTGTGCTCACAAAATGTTTTTTAAACTGCTTTACTCCTGCACCATAGACAAGCAGCAAATCTGAGCACGGAAGTGAAAGGCAAAAATCTGTTGTGTCTCAACCTTTGTCTTTCAAACCGAGCCAGGCTCTAGGATATTGTTTCTCAAAGTGGTCTATGGGCCCACTTTGAGAAAGCTGATAACTGGCTTATGGAATGGGAGCTGCGAGGCTATGTGGAGCCAGTAAACAAACAAACAGGAGTGGCCAGTTAACAGCTCTCTCAGAGTGGGTCCGTGGACTACTGAGAAATACTGTGACCTTCTTAGTTTGGTTTGCCTACATGGTGGAGGTAAGTTATATGGTCTTGAAAGGAAAAAAAAAACCCTGAAGTATAAGGGGTATCATGAGACACTCTCCAAAGATTTTCACCACCTAGACACTCTGCTGTCACTTGTTTTAAGTGCACCTTTTGTCCGCTTTCTGGTTTCACCTTTTCTGTTGTATTCAGTTTTGCTAATTCTCATGCTTTTGTCATGAATCTCACGATCGTTATTGTTTTCCTTAAAGCCCCACCTCCTGGTTTTAAGCAGATATGTGATGATTTCAGCTTTCATTCTTACAGAAGAAATGTTTCTAACCCTTGAGGCTATTCAGAAAATGTCAAAAATGTAACATGAGAGCTTCTAGTTTAACTATTTAGTGTGCAAATAGAAAAAGAACACCAGACCTATTACTTGTACATAGTCCCATGATTTTAAAGCCAATCTCCTGATTTTTGGTGAGCCTAACTCATGATTTTTGAGCATTTGGGGTTGGCAATACTGGCTCATTAGCCATGCCTTTCAGTGTAGATTCTAACCCACCCGTGGCCCATATGAAGCAAGAGTTCTCAAACTTTAATTAGAAATTGTCTACATAAGAACGACTGAAGCACGAAAGGGAAACTACAGAAAGTGTTATATACACTAAAAAAAGTCAGTTCCAGCTGCTCCGTGCCTTTTCTTCCACCTCTCACTGCTCCAGGGTTAACAGGTAAATCTGGTTTTCAGAAGAGGAAAAAGAGGAGCACTTTGGAATTAACCATGGGTATTAAAAGGGTTTCCAATGTTTTACCATGCAACATGTCCCCCGCCATGAACAAGTAATATATCACAAATCCTCTTACCCCATTTCAATGCAAGAAACCACTGATCTAAAACCTGTAGTCAACTGAAATTACTGGGACTGAGGTGGGAGGGAGAGGGAGAAAGGTATAATAAAGATGTCAGGTAATTTAGGTTCAGTATACAGATACAAGAGGTGGTAGCAATATCCTGATGTGAATATATTTGTTTAGGCCTCTGAACTCAACATTATCCTGTTCTCAGCGTATTTGCATCAGAGATGCCTATTGAACCCTTCCAAATTTGGACTTTACTGGTAAATCTTTCACAAGAGCAATATTGATATTTTGTTTGTTACCAATATAATAAATCAATAAGACAAGAATAGCTATTAAAAACTGTATTTTCCCCCAACAGTTACATTTTTAATCAAAAGATTAAACCACAGAAACACTTCACTTTTCTTCTTAAAAAGATGTAACAGCTCAGAAATGCCATAGATACACATGGAGTATGCATGTTAGCTTTGACAATGATAGGCCACTACAATCCAGCCTGGCACTCCAGCCAGCACCAGAAACACGTACCACCTTAAATTAACCCTTTAGGGGATGCCCCCTTTGCACCAAAGTGCATCTTAGTTCAAATCATAAGAACCAATTGGGCTCATTACTGGTTTCATTTTAATACAGGGAAATGTTATCCAGCCTCAATCAACTGAGGTAAGAGATTAACTTTCACATTGAAACTTTACAAAGATGTAATTGAAAAGGATCTTTTTATAGAATTACAGTCGTTCCCATTTACACAATAGTTATTTGTTCAAGATAAAGTCCCACTTCTCTTTCCCACACATATTCCAATGATTTCTCCTGGGTTGTTCACTTTTGAGATTTGAATATCGTCATAGTTGCATGTCATGAGAACAGTCAAGTAGTCACAGCCAGGTTCCTGAGCTGTTATGCCAAATAATTAACAACCGCATGAAACAGAGTAGGTACAGGTGAATGGATTTATATTTAAATAGGGATGAAATATTTTAAATCAGTGCTACCCACAACAGGGTCTAGAAGTATTGTAAAAATACACTGACATAACAGAGAATGAAGTGCTTGGTTTTAGGTAGCAGCACTAGGTACCTCAGGATTTTAATATTTGCTGTGCAGATTCCTGAAGAGTGCATGCTTTTAAAATTTCACTGCAGATGAAGGCCCTATCTCTTCTCCCACATCTGAGAGTGTCACATGTAAACTCATGATTGGGCAGTTTAGTGCATTCCCACTGCCACCAGTAGAGCAATGGCCACAGAAAAAATGACTAATCCTGGAGACCGTTAACTTCCATCTCACTGAATTACTGTAGGTGCTAGAGCCCTACTGCACATAATACTGCAGGTGATAACCAACATTATATTCCAGTGCAACATGGATGTGAGTTGATAGGTGGTAGTGTTCCCCTATTTGAGAACTAAATCCTGTGCAGCAATTAAAGGGTTAAAGTGTGTAATGCGCTATTTTACACAACTCATTTATATGCTATACAAATTTGGTAATTTAATGTCACAGCCACAGATCTCATCTTGCAATTCCTGCAAATCTACAACTTCTGTCAGAAGAGAAGAAGCCACCCCAATGCTAAGTTTCTCAGCAGGAGTTCATTGATACTGCCCATAGCAAATCAGAGGCAGGGCTGCAGACTGCCACATTCTAGCTGCAACTTATTAAAGTAAATATGCTTTTGACATATGCTCCCAAAAGAGCCAGAGGCCATAGAACAGATAAGTATGGAAAAACTGATTGCATGGGAGACCTTGGAGCTAATAGCAAATTAAAAACACAGTTCTTAAGCCAATCAAAAAAAAAAAAAAAAAAAAAAAAAAAAAACCAAGAGTGTGAATGTGTGTAATAAATATTGCAAAGAACATTTGTCTTCTTCCCCCCTCAGGTCAATAAAGTGAAAAGTAATAACCAATGCACCAAAAAAAAAAAATCAACTTTCAATAAAAACATTGTCAGCAAAATACCTGCAAGCAGTCTAGAAAAAGCATAAGCATTACCAGCCAATGACAATTCAATTCCAGTTCTATGCAGCCAACAAAACCCCCTTCAAATTCACAAATATAACCAGAACTCGAAAAGCTTCTTTAAAAGAAGGATGTCAAGTGACTTATTTTAAAATATAAAATAATATCAGAACTACAATAAAAGATTTCCATTGGTCAAGTTTAAAAAATTGTCTTCCTTTAGCCAATCAAAAACAGTCTGTCCCTTTGAATCAAGTGTAAATGCATCACTGACTTCGTCCTTGATAACACAGCCCAGATGAGTAGCAACAGTGTATAGGAACAGATGGCTGTGAGATGTGTTCAGGGAGTTGGGCAAAAGGAAGCAAAATTTAAAGGAAAAGGGCAAGGGCTGCCATGGAAAATTAGGGGTGGGCAAAGGAACTTGTTAATGCTCAGCCATCCTCTATCTTCAGGAATCTCATTGCCTTCTCCAACTCTGTGTGGCTCAGACACTCTAATTACTGCCTTCTGTCTTCCGTCTCTGATCTGGAAAACGCCATCACCACGTCCTCAGCACCTGTAAGCACATACAAAAAAAATGGGAGCTAAAAGTACTGCATTCAGAGAATAGGGGTGAGTTGAATTTCATTACTATGAACTCCAAACATTTCGAAGTAACGAGTCAGGAATCAGGATCCAAAAATCACGAGGATTTGTTTTTTAATTGACATTTTAGGTTTCTATTTGCTTTCTGGTGTTGGAGGAGGATTTAGGCTGCATGTTTGCAGGTGTTTCTCTGCAATTGCAATGATTAATATTTTGGATCTTTTAAAAAAAAAAAAAAAAGACAGCTGACATTCTCCCATTTTCACATACCCCCATGAGCCGGAGCTTTGAAAAAAATAAATAATAAAATATTGAGAGAACTGGAAACAATGGAATATGGATAGAAATTCTTTGCTGGTCTCAACTCTCAGACCCCTGCACTGCAAAAGGGCCTTGCTGAACTATCCTGGAGCATGAAGAATGCAGCTATGCAATTAAAAAAAAAAAAAAAAAAAAAGGATGTCTGTGTGCTGATGCCCTATGTGTCATTCGCTTTTAACAAGATATTTTGGTTACTCTTTGCAACATGCCTTCGTTATTCCTAATAGAAATTTCATTTCACATTAGGACTGTGCTATTTTGTTAGGCCTACTGAGAGACTTTTCATTGTCCTTGGTAATAATGTGAGCAGGTATGGCACTTTCCATTCAAGGAAATCAAAGTGCTTTCTAAATATTAATTTGGCATCACATGCGAAAGGAAGGTAATTATTATTCTCATTTGAAAGATGAAGAAACTGAAGCACAGAGGTTCAATAGCTTGCTTAAGATCTCATATTGCCAAAACCTCCCAAATGTGGCATAAAACAGAGTAGAAATCAGATCTATTGTTTTCCACTCCATCCACATAAACCATTTCTTGTTTATCTCAAAGACAGTCCTAGACACCATCCTGATATTCTCTCAAATTTATTTCTAAATATCATTTTCTCTCACTTCTCTCTGGCTGGCTGTATATATTTTTAGTGCTAGCCAGATGAGCAAATTCAATATCAGTCTTGCTGTGTGGTGTAGCTGTTAAGTACAGTTATAGTGATCAATATCTTACATCCATTTATTGAGACATTATTTATAATAATACACAATGGGGGACATGTATCATGTATGAACATTCACTGAGTCATGAATCCAAGTGATGTCAGAGTTAATCCAAAACTCAAGACACATTAGATTCTCACCTGGTAAAGTGTACACTTGAAGAACATCAGAATGGTCATTCTGGGTCAGACCAATGGTCCATCTGGGCCAGTATCCCATCATAAATGCTGGAACCAGGAGTCCTGCAGCACCACCTGGTTTGATGAGGTTTAGAAACACTCATATGATGGGACTGTTACATCCCTGACCATCTTGGTTAACAGCTATTGGTGGACCTACCCTCCATGAACTTATCTAATTATTTTCTGAATCCAGTTATATTTTAGGCCTTCACATCATCACCTGGCAACAGATTCCACAGCTGACTATATGTTGTATGATCAAATGCTTTGTTGTTTTTCTTTTAAATTTGCTGTCTATTAATTTCATTGGGTAGCTCTTTGTTCTTGTGTTATGTGGAGAGATAAACAATTCCATGTTCACTTTCTCCACCCCATTCACAATGACACCAAGATCTTGTTCTTGATTGATAATTGTGAATTTAGACCCTATCATTTTGCATGTATAGTTGGGGTTATATTTTTCCAATGTTCACTACTTTAATTTCACTTAATATTTAATTTAATCTGCCATTGTGTTGCACAGTTTTGTGAGACTCCTTTATAACTCTGCCTAGTCAGCTTTGGATTTGGCTACCTTTAGTAATTTTGTATGATCTGCAAATTTCGCTACCTTATAAGGAGTATAAATTGGGAGCCATTTTTAGCTTTCCTCTTAATTTTGTAGTATTAGATAGCACTGGACATTACTGATCTGTGAACAATCCAAAGTATACTTTGAGAAACATTTGTTACACCTTTAACAGTAGCACAAAGCACTTAAAAAAACCTGAAGGCCTCTATTAACCCACAAAAGGCGGCTTGCCATGCTGCAGAAGGGTCTCACACGGAGCTTTCAAAATGTTTCAACCAGGACCTGAAGGAACCACTTGCAAAGTTCAATCTCGATGACCCATTCAAATCCTTGGCTTTTTGGCTGAGGCTGTCAGTTGCAGATGGTCACTGAACAAATGTGTCACATGAGGGGAGATCTGAACGAGACCCAGCTAGCTCATTTCACATAAATTGTAAATAGCCTCGTTCACTCACTACTGACTTGGGTGGGATTTGAATTGGTGATTTATGAGCAAAATTAACTCTTACCCACATTCAGTTCCATGGAAAACATTCCATTCTAAATTATTTGCATTCTTTAAATGACTTTTCCGCTTGTTCCATCCACAAACCAGTCTGCTCTCTAGACTCCTAAATATTCAGAGAGGATCACAAGGTGATACTTAAAGTGAAATGCCTTCAGAATGTTGGGGAAATGACAGTGTGGGGACTGGTCATAAGGCATGCTATAAATAAATCTATTTATTTTACAGAAAGCCATAAAAAAAGCCATCTTAGGGTTGACTGTAGTATTTTTAAACTGTGTCAGAACTTCCAGACCCCAGAGACTCCTAACAGCAAATGCTGTTTTCATCTGTTGATCCCACAACTTCAACTATCAAATAATGTTTTTAAGAGAACAGCCACCACACCCACACAATTTCTGATATTTGACTAATCATTAAACTGATCCTTGCCATTTAAGTATAACAGATTACATGCACAGCCTTTTTTTCCCCTTCATGAACTAATTAGGCCTGCATTAGCTAATTATTGCCTTTATTTAGGTATCCTTTGAAGCCACTACTAAAGGATTAGACAGCAGAGGAGGAAACTTTGGAGTGCAACCGTCTCATTGATTGTTCTCACTCCCCTCCCCAACCTGAATAAGATTCAGAGTTGCAAATTTTCAGTGTTCTTTCTACAGATGAATGTGAACAAAAATGTTCCATCAGGACACTATGTAATATTAGGGAAGTTTCGAGTAAAGGTGCATGGGCAGGCTCCACACAACACAAACTACTATGAGAATCTTACAATGGAATCATACAAATGTAGGGCTGTAAAGGCTCATGAAGGGCCCTGCACTGATGAGGCAGGACTCCATATACCTAGATCATCCCTAACAGGTGTTTATCTAACCTGTACTTAAAAACCTCCAACAGGGATTCCACATCATCCCTTGAAACCTTATTCTAGTACTTAACTACAGTATTCTTATAGCTCGAAAGATTTTCCTAATATCTAATTTAAGTCTCCTTTAGTCCAGCTTAAGCTCTATTTCTTTTCCTACCTCCAATGGACATGGAGAACAACTGATCACTGTCCTCTTTAAAAAAGCCCTTATATATTTGTGGAATTTGCTCAAATCTAACCATGACCTTTTTTAACCCATTCCTCAGAGGTCAGGTTTTCTTTGCTCTCTTCTGGACTCTCTCCAATTTGTCCACATCTTTCTGAAAGTGTAGTGCCCACAACAGGACAACACTCCAGCTGCAGCCACACCAGTGCCAAGTAGAGTGGAACAATGATCTCCTGTGTCTTACATACAACATTTCTGCTAACACCCCCCTCCCCCGAATGATTTTAGCCTTTTTCTCAACTGCACCACATGGCTGGTTCATATTTAATTTGTAAAGCACTATGACCCTCAGATCTTTTTCAGCAGTTCTACTACCTAGTCAGTTTTCAATTTGTAGTTGTGCATTTGATTTTTCCTTCATAAGTGTAGTACTTGAGAATTTAAAAATGTTTGACCTTTGCTTTTCACTTATCTTTATTGAAATTTCATCTTGTTGATTTCAGATCAGATCTTTAATTTGTCATGCTCCTTTTGGATTCTAATCCTGTCTTCCAAAGTGCTTTATACCCCTCAATCTCCCCCCCCTCCATTTGGTGTCATTTATAAATTTTATAAACAGTCTCTCCATTCCATTATCCAACTCATGAACGAAAATTATGAATGGTACAGACCCTCTGGAACACTAACAACATATACCATCACAGTTTGACAGTGAATCATTGATACAGTTTTTCAACCAATTATGGACCTGTTTTGTAGTAATTTCATCTAGATCAAATTTTCCTAGCTTCTTTAGAAGGATGTAATGGGGAGCATGTCAAAAGATGAATTAAAAAGCAAGCTACATCACATCTGCTGCTTCATCACCCACTCCCTCATTCACTAGGCCAGAGAACTTGCCAAATAAGGTAATTAGGTTGGTTTGGCATGATTTGTTCTTGACAAATCCATGTTGACTATTACTGGTAACCCTATTATCTTCTAGGTGTTTACCAACTGCTGGTTTAATAATTGTTCCAGTATCTCTCCAGGTATCACAGTTAAATTGAATGGTCTATAATTTTCCAGGTTCTTTTTATTCCATTTAAAGATAGGTACTGGAACAAATTATTTAAAAAAAATCAATTTGTAAATACCTAGAGGATTTTAGTAAGGCACTTAGAAAAAAAAATAAAACAAATATTGGTTAGGCAGTATTTACAGAGCAACTGTATGTGAGCAAAACAAGCAAGGCAAGGTTTAAAAAATTGCCTCTGAATCAGTGTTCAGCTTGAGAAGATCTCTGGAGAGCCTATCATGAGACACAACCAACCAGCATGTATGCAACATCCACCACAGCAGCACCAGTTTCATCTGAATGCTCCAAGCACGGCTGACCTTAGCAGTTACCACACTACTTCTGACCCTGCTAAATAAGCTCCAAAGACAGAGTGGAATCCCTAAAACCAGACAGTTGTTCACCCAGCCTGATGATGATGGAAGAGTTCCTGGTAAAGGCAGAGGCTCTCTCCCATTCTGTTTGCCACAGTGAGGGGGTGTTAACAGAATGGAGAGTGCGCAGTATGGTCCAGGTAGGATTTCTGTTCTGAAGAGTGTGGTGAGATGCATCCCCTACATCTCTGAACAGTGGCAAGTGGCACTTGCTGTACTTTGGTGATCAGTTTGTTGGCTGCATTCTGACCACTGGATGTTAGGTGTAGGAATACTGGATAGGACTGGTAAGCTTTGTCGCCTTCAAGGTACTTATGATAATTCTCCAGGTTAACCAAACTGGGGCACAAATGAGTTGCAGAGAGTGAGCCCCAAACTATGTTGTGTTTATGAACTGATTGCCCAGCTGGACCCTACCCATTTGTTTGGGAGAGTTTCAGTTCTTCATTGTGAGTTATTTTAGTGAGATGGAATTTATAACCAGCAAACTGAATCTATTGGTTGTGTAGCCGATATGGCTAATCTGCTTGTTTGCCTATAGATATATAAATGTATTATTTCCTTATGGTTTTAATTATATGTTTATTATAATAAGCTACAGTAGGTTTATATTGGCAGTTTGGCTGTAACATAACAGAGACTTACAGGCCACAGCCTGTATGTTGAGCTAAAGCAAAGTTAGTATTTTTGTCTGGGATCTTTCACCCAGCTAGCACAGTTAGCTCACATATGTTCAAGACCTTTCACCTAGATACATAGTGATCAGATAGAAGTGCCTATATCATGAAAAGTCACTCTAAGAATACCTTCAAACTTAGAAGGTACATTATTATTTAGAAAAACCCAAAATAACTGGTTGAGATCAGACTGAATAACCGGGTAGGACAGAAATAATAAACGTGACAGAAAACCACAAAAGGTCCATGGTAATGAATTGACACATGATAATATGTTGAGATCAATGGAAATACTTACCTATTGGAAAAAGACAATTCACCATTAGTAACATGAGGAAATACAATTAAGGAGAAAAGGGAACATCCCCTGCTGAATTTGCATCAAACAAAACGACATCAGTGTAACATGATAAAAAGTGGCCTCCCAGCTTAGGGGTAGAAAGAGAAGGAGGCGTAGTCCTTGGGAGGTGCCAGAATGAGGCCACTGGTGATGATGGGAAAGGTGCAGGCAGTGAGGAAGATGATAGCTAACACCTCAGGTTATGCTAGAAGGAATGGTGTGAGTATATAGTATGGAAATATAGATGTAGATTCCCTATTTATATTATGAAATTGGGATGCTTGTCACTCTGCTAAATGTATTAATAAACATATCTGCAATTACACAAGAGTTCCTATAGTGTGAGTATTGCATCTGTGCACGTCAGGGGTCTCCAACCATAGAATAACTGAATACTGGGCGATCCTGCGAACTGATCCTGAGACGAAGACCCTGTCAACCCTAAAAGTGGTAACTGGAAATTCCTAAGTAATTTTAGATCAGGCAACATTTCGCAGTTACTACAGATCTA